ATGAGACGTTTTTCTTGTGATATTAAGGAAAAGCTAAGCTTGAAAAAGACACATTATGATGCTGCAACAGATGATAAAAAGTAGTGCCATTAGTAGGGCTGCTAATAATTTCATTACGTTTCATTTGTTGATTATTGGATCAGCTGTTTGTGGCAGAAAATGCTGAAAAAGGTTGAACAGTGTTTCCAAATCTGAAAACGACATCCTCAAATGTCTTGTTTTAGCCACAACCCAGACATATTCAACTGAAACAGAGAAGCAAAGAAATAAGAAAACATTCATATTTAAGAGTCCGGAACCAGGGAATTTTTCTTAACAACTACTCAAACCGAACATATTAGAAAAGACTCTTTTAGACAGTTTTAAACACTTTGTCTCCAAATTTTATTCCAAGCTGTAACATTGGAATACAGACAGACTATCATTCCTACAGAAGTCACGGGAAACTCAGTTGAAAACAACAATAGATACCGAAGTATGGGAGGAAATTTCACTTTTACCTTCAAAAATATACATATGTAACAGATTCAGAGAAATACAATATAATATCCTACAAAATGTCCATATATGGGGCTGCAAGGTGACTCAGTGGTTAGCACCGTTGCCTCGCAGCAAGAGGGTCGCCGGTTTGTGTCCTGGTGAGGACATCCAGTGCAGTGTGGGTTCTCTCCGGGTTCTCCGGCTTCTTCCCACAAGGTCCAGAAACATGTTAAGGTTAATTGGTGATTCTAAATTGTCTGCAGGTGTGAATGTGAGTGTGCTTGGTTGTCTGTCTCTAAGTGTAGCCCTGTGATGGACTGGTGACCTGTCCAGGTGAACCCTGCCTTCACCCTGAGTCAGCTGCGACCCTACGGAGGATAAAGTGGTGTATAGATAATAGAATGCGAAAAGATTCAAAGGTTTTGGCAAACCGTATGTGCTGAGGTTATTGTGGTAATCAAGCAGCAATTACAGCCTAATCCACTGTTATGTGTATTGGGATGTATCCCTGAATCATTAAGGTCACATAGGAACACTGTACATTTTTTGCTCATGTTGGCAGAAAGGCTGTTATGACCAAATGGGTAGGAGATGAACCTTCTTCAATACATCTGTGGAAGTCTTGGATATCAGGCTATATTTCTCTGGAAAGACTAAGATTTGGTATCAACGATCAAATCAAAAGGACCTTTTTACAGCAAAGTTTGGCAAAGTGTTGGAATACCTGGGAACTCAGAGTGCCACTACCTGAAATGTTCGACCTAATAAGGACTTTTGAGATCGTTGCTGTGGGTGTATTTTGAATTTGCTACATGTTTCATATAATCTGTATATGTACTGTGCTGGACTTTCACAACAACACTACTCAAACCAGTTAACTTGAGTGGCCCAGGTTTCCCTCTTGTCTGACATAAAAGTAACATTTCTTGTAAAACCATAGACATACTGGTTTCAAAAAGAAAGAGTGCTTCTGCACTCACACACGGTTTTATACAGAAGTTCACCCCCTGATGTTCACTGTACTATCAGCATGTTGTGTTGACTTAAGAAAGTACAGCTACATTACATAACATAGGATTTCAGCCTATATGGTACACACTGTGAGATCTACTGGGATGGCAGCATGCTCAGTATTTACATAAGATAGCTTTATCTCGTGGTCATAAGACAATATTGATTATATTCATTATTATTGCAAACTTGTAGTTTACTAGGTCATAGCAGGTCATCATATACCTTTTTTTTTAAAAGACAGCAACAGGGATGGAAGCTGAAACATTTAAATTGGTTTTATATAGTAAATTCAAAGTGGGGCAAAAGAGTAAAAGCATAAAATCAAATTACACAGTTACTGTTATTACACATCTGGGGGATAAATTGCCCACCAGTAACCATGACATCCAGATCTATTCATTCACCTCTCTTCCAGCATCGACACACACACAAACACACACACACACACCTCCACAGCAGTAATCCCACCAGGTTGTCGGGTTTCTATGGGGGTCAGCGTTTGCCGGACGCAGCTTTTATTTGGACCCGATTACTTTTGGGCACAGTCATCGTATGGCCTCTGTCGACTGGGATTGGGGGGATTGGCGTCCGCCTCACTGGCTCCATTCACTGGGCCCGGCACAATCATTTCGAACTGGCGGACCTAACGCCTAACCCCAAAGAGTCGGGCCAGCCCAGTCAGCAAATACAACAACCACCCCCCCCCACCCCGCCACCCGCTGCTCCCCACTTTAATCAGAGAGGAGGGGGGAGTGAAATGAGAGACGGAGGGTGGAGGTGGAGGGGGGGGGGAGACAAAGTAAAAGACTAGTGAGAGTAGAGGTGGAACAGAGATGACAGTGGGAGAGAGGAGCGACTGATTTCTGCGAAGTGGGGTCACAGTGAAAGAGCAGCATAAAATAAATGAGAGGCGGTATGTGTGCGATAGAAAGAACGAGTCACAGAGAGCAAAAACATCAGCTGAATGCCCAGCAGCCCTTTTGAATCAAAGCCATTTCCATAGCAGCTTTTATAGCGTTTGGGGTTTTTTTTTTTGACCCTGCTGACCTCTATAGCAGACTTGCTGATTGTCACTCAGCTCAGATGTTTGGGATTCCTCAATGTGACTGCAGGCCTGAACCCACGCCTCCCACTACGAGTACATACATCTAAATGGCCAGAAATACTGGACAGAATGGAAAATCATTTTAAACTGAAATGCACAAAACAAATGCTCCTGACCTCATGCAGCAACTGTTACATATCTTTAATACGATTCCAGATACTGTTAGTACAAATATATGAAGACAGATTTTTTTCTGCTGGTTGTATTTGATGAGTTTGGATGAATTTGGATCAACAGACCTCTGCTGCTCTCTTGTGGTGCAATCAGGGAGATTACGTTAGTTGGGAAAGAGGATGCAGGATGTTTCGATTCCACACCTGTTTGCCATAGAAATATGCACATAATACAATAAACTATTTTGTGATTATGGGCACCAAGGCGGCCTCTCCTTCATAGGATCGCCTGCTGTTACCATGTAGAATCTTTCCTCGCTAGTGCAGACTGTTTCTGTTCTTAAATTACACATTACACACAGAATATAGTAACTATGACACTCTGAGGTGAGCTATAGCATTAAATTACACAAGAGACAATAAACTGGATGCATATCTCTTTACTAACAGAAGAAAGTCAGTGGTCAGTGCAAAAACAGGCGAGACAGAGAGGGACGGCATCTTAAAATGCGAATACAAACATAATGCCAAGGTAGGAATACTTTACAGCTTTTATTTGTATTTCATTTGTCTTGAAACATTTGCTTCTTGGTTGACTTTTACAATTGCTTTTTAAAGAAAAAACACTTTACTCTTCTTTACATGTTGTACTTGCCAGTGTTTTACTGTTATGCACCAAACACCAAGTGGAAATTATTGTATGTGAAAACCTACTAGTCCATAAAACTCTGATCTCTGACTCTGGTTTGATTCGTTAATCCCAAACTTTACAGAAGTAGAGACTTTAACAAGCAACAGTAAAGCTAGCTGCACATAATTATGCTTTTTTTCCCCACATTTTCTTGCCAGCCTCTTATTCTTGTCATCATCTTACATATTTTCTTATTTCCACTTCCTGAATTGCATTTTTAAAAATGAACTGAACTGAGGGTGGCATGGTGGTTCGGTGTTTGGCACTGCTGCCTCACATCTAGACAGTCCTGGGTTCAATACTCGGTCTGGGATTCTTTCTTGTATGTTCTCCTCGTGTAGTGTGGGTTCTCTCTAATTGGTGATTATAAATTGTCTGTAGGTGTGAATGTGAGTGTGATTGTTTGTCTTTCTGTGTAGTCCTGTGATAGACTGGTTACCTGTCCAGGTGAACCCTGCCTTCACCCTGAGTCAGCTGCAACCCTACAAAAGACAAAGTGGTGTATAGATAATGGATGGATGGATGAATTGAATTGAATTGAATTGAACTGACCACCCACGCTAAAATGAGTTGGCAAATATAACAAAGAGGTCAATCAAAGCGTCATGCCTTTATATATATATATATATTTTTTACTACAATAAAGCAAGTAATGTATTTGATTATGTTTATGGTTTTTACCATTTTTTTTTCACTTTATCTTTTTTTTAATTCCACTTTATGAATTGCATTTCTTTCTAATTTCGTTTTCTTTTCTTTTATTTAAGAATTACATCATCTTTGATGCTTTGGCACTGCTGTTAATGTGATATTCATTCCAGTAAAGCATGCTGAACTAAACTGAATTGAACTGAAGTGAATCGAACTGAACCAACTGAATTACAAATGAACAGAATTAAATTCAATTCAATTAAACTGAACTGACAAGCTACAAATTGTAAAATAACTAACTAACTAATAGCATTAAGAGGTCCATTAAAGCTTCATCCTCCTATTTTTAAACAAAACTAATAAGTGAGCTGTTTACAAATGTATTTTTTCCACTAGTATAATAGACTTTAAATACAACTACAAGAAAGTGAATGTTGTGTCTGATTTTCACTGTTTTGTTTCCTCTTTTCTTATCATTATTTGGCTGTTTTTATCACTTTATATTCAAGTTGTTTACATTTTTTTCTCCAGAGTTGCACTATACTTTTCAGATAATCCAGTACAACAAGGTGAACTTCATGTGACGACAGGTGCATTGAGAAAAAACACTAAATGAGCCTTTACATGGCTCATACCATTATTAACAGAAAAGGGGGTTTTCAGGCATTTCCACAGCACTCTGGACTTTTTCCTGCTATATCTACAGCACTGGTAAAGCGGGCAGTGTAGTTCTTAAATTATAAATGACAGTTTAATATGAATTATCTGAACATTATTCGATGACACCACCGGGCGGGGAGGTGATGTGTAACGTCGAGCGGTCCAGGAAATCCGTGTATTTACAAACACACGCAGCTAGCGGCAGACAGCTAATGGACGCAGCGGAGGGAGGATTACCTGACGGCTAAAGGCGGTTAAAAAGCTTTTCCCGGTGAGTCTGTGTGAGTTTTGCGGGGCGTAACTGCGACCATGACGGGTGACAGCAGCCGCGACGCTACTAGAAATGACGCTAAACCGGCCGAAAGCAGCGCCACAGCGGAGTACTGCGCCAAGTTGCAGCAGTGGATGTGGCAGTATTACTGGGGCTACGCCAGCTGGCAGAGCTGCCTGGCGCTGTCCGCCTTCCCCTTCACTCCGCCGTGCGGTGTCCCTCCGCCGGGCACAGGCGCCCAGACCCAGCCGGGGACACCTGCCTCGACCACCGGGAGCGAAGTTTTTTATGATACGCGGAACTGGTACAGCTACCCGTATCCTCTCGGCTTCCCCGGGTCCTCGCCTCACCCGGGTGGCACCCAGACCGGGCACAGCTTAGCCACGACCCCGCTCTCAGCGAGTGATGCCCGGCCAGCGCAGCAGCAGCAGCAGCAGCAGACCGGGAATCCTCCGCAGGCAGGTAGGGCTCGGTTCGGTGGTGTGGCCTACTTTATCTGTGTGGGATTGTGAATGCATAAGCTAGGTCATGAGTCTAGTGGGAAACAGGCTTAAGTAAAAGTCCTAGTGGAAACCAGCTTATATGCTTAGAGTCCTTAGAAAGGTCTCTCAGTCCTGTGGGGACTTCATCGTAATGAGAAAAGTGTTTGAATGAGAGATGGACTTGTCTCTTCATCTGCTCCACAGGACGAGAGTACACCATCCCCTCTCCTCTCCAGAGGTTCCTGGCTGAGACAGTGGACTTCTTCATCCTGTTTTGTGTGAAGGCCACCATCGTGCTGTGGATCATGCATCTGAGTGGGATGAAGTGAGTAAAGCCATCAAACAGCAAGTTTGAGCAAACAGAAACTCAGAAAACATGGTCCAAACTGGGTATTAAAGAATTCAGGCTTTATTTGGGGTTTGCTGATTGCAGGCCGAGCCAATTAACAGATCCAATATTTGTCTGAATATCGCTGTCTCTTGTTTTTCTCTTGTACATTCGTGCCACTTTGCAGCCACATTTTTATATCTGTTGTCAACCTTCATCGTCTTAAGAAATGACCCACTCAGAGTACGATGTTATTGGTTACACATAGACCAATAATCTGCTCTAATAGAATAAAAAACAAGTGGCAAAAAGGTTTGTTTGGTTTGTTTATCGCTGTTCTTGATTTTTAATAATCAGAATCAGCCATAAAACTCCACATTAGTCAAGACCAGATTCAAGCAAAGCATTTCATTGTGTTTAAACACCATGTTCGCAGTCCATCATTTATACTTTTTTCAGGCTCTCCTGGCAGTTATGTAGCTGTGGATCCAAAAAAAGACCATGTACCGAAGAGTTTACATCACTGCTTTAATGCAAAAAATAGTTACTGTGATCCCCCAGATTTGTGCTCACACAGAGGCTCTGTCTCTCTTCTTTACAGGGACATCGCCAAATTTATCACCCACTTCATCGTGGAGGAGATCGATGAGAACACGTCCATGGAGGACCTGCAGAAGATGATGGCGGTTGCTTTGGTCTACAGAATACTGGTGTGCGTCTATGAGGTGGGTTAAAATCCACACTGCCTTCATAATGACAGGACAAAGTAATACAGGTGTATACTAATGGGCTAAATTTTAAATACTGAAAAATCGTACATCGTTTATTAAATTAGAATACAGGATAATTTCCATCTTTCTGGCTAAAATCAAAGTACAGTCGTGACTCGATAATCTGACCCTTAACAATCCTAAACCTTGCTATCCGACAGGTTTTTAGGAAAAATGAACGGAACCCATTAAAAACAGCCTTAACATACCGACAGCCTTGGATTCTGACTCTGACATGACATTTTATGTCACAAATCAGGACAACGGCGTATTATCTGACTGAACAATCCGACAGATTGGCTACGTTCAGACTGCAGGACTTAATGCTCAATTTGGATTTTTCTGTAAGTTCGTTAACGTTTCCAGTTAAATGCGACTTGTGTGTGATCTTCTGTGTGAACTTCATACGACTCAAAAGTGTCCCGCATGCGCAGAAGAGGACACGACGACGTCACACGCAGAGAGCGTGCTCAGTGTTTATGGGAGTAAACATGGATGGTGGCGGCGGTGGGGGAGTGGTGCCGCAGAACTGGGACTGCTGTCCTAAATTGGCATCAGCAGCCAAGTACTGCCTGTGCCGAATATTCTAACATTGAACCCAGATAGTGCTATTGGGACCAGCCCTACTAGTTATTATAACTATAAACAATAAATATTAACAACAAATGAGCCTTCAAGCATCAAGCCCTCCTTGTATCTCGACCTCCGTCTTGACAATCCGACAGCCTTGCTATGCGACATAAAAGAAGGTTTTGCATTTAGTGTTGGATTATCGAGTCATGACTATATACTGTTTCATAAATTTTGATGTACTGCTCAAACCTAGCTTTCTATTTATCCATTTATAACATCAGGTAGCATTTTCATGTCTATAAGCATCTAATCTTTCCATGAATCATCTATTTAACGCTACTTTTACTTTACTTATTATAGCAAACATCCTTTAAATGTAATGCTGCACAGGTTTTTCTTCACTTAGCCCAAACACTTAACCCAGACGAGCAGTTACCACCCAATTTATATTGCTAATTAAAGTAAAAACCACTTGAAATGTATGTAATATTCCCCAATGTGTTCATTCAGTAGGAGCTGCCTCGCCACATGCTCTCGTTTAATGAGAAGCGTCAGGCAGAGTCGGAGTTCTTTACAACACAACATAGTTTCCCACAGAGGACAGTGATGCAACGCGGCGTTCATAGTTGCCTGAGATGAAGTCATGTAAAGCGTCTCTTGTCGGACTTCTGCGTCAGTGGCTCGTTTTCCCAGGTGGGAAGCAGCACTGGGACATTCAGGCACCTCTGCTCAGAGGAACACCATCTGGCATGTTTCCTGCTTTCTGAGCTAGTTTGTGTAAATCTGAAAGGAAAATTTCACTCCCTTTTACCGTTTCTAGTGAGAATGAGATAAGATGAGAAAGATAAAACTTTATTAATCCTGAAGGAAACTCTTGTGCCAGATATTGCTCAGAAAAAACAAACGACATAAGAAATGCATCGTCTAAAAGTAGAAAAGCAGCAAGATAGAAGTACCGTAAATTCTGGACTATAAGCCGCTACTTTTTTCACACGCTTTGAACACTGCAGCTTAAACAGTGATGCGGCTAATTTATGGATTTTTATGATTATTACGAATTTGCCTCAAGACAAAAGTGACATTGAGAGTGACAATGAAACAAAGACTGAGGAAGTGTGTGACGAAGTATTTCTGAGGCTGTTCAATTCCGACACTGAAGAAGACGACTTTAGTGGTTTTAGTGCAGGAGGTAGATGAAGATAGCGATCAATGACTTTTCCTGGTAGGCTACTGTAGTTTTTATTCTTTTAACCAGCCGTGTTACAGGCACTGTTCGGAAAAAAGCATTTATGTATTTGTGTATGTTACCACTTTGTATTTAATTAAAAGTTTAAAAAATCTTTCTGTGTTACAATGTGGACACCTGCAGCTTATAGACATGTGCAGCCTGTATATGTACAAACCTTGTTTTCTTTTTAAAGTATATTGAGGTGCGCGAATAGTCTGGAATTTACGGTACGTTACTGAAATGAAATAAGCCGGCTAGAATTGAACAGTAAACAGTAATGCTGGCGATTATACAGGGGCTATAGGTGATATCACACATGCTAATGAAATATAGCACCTGACAAATGAGATGGAAACACAATGAAATATTGCATGTTTAATCAAAATGTTGCGAAAGAAAATGAAATGTTACACATGATAATAAAATCTTGCACACCAAACTGAAATAGTACACCAGAGAAATGAGAATATGAAATATTGCACATTACACATGGAGTGAAATCCTACACATGATTAGTAACTCCTGCACCTATTCGTCGCACCGTGTACTCTACAAGGTCAAGAGTGGTCTGTTGTAAGATATCAGGTAATAAAACTTATATTTAGAGGTAAATTGTCTGACTTTATTTGTTTTTTTTTCCCCCTCCAATCAGACGATCTGTATCTGGGGTGCTGGTGGCGCTACTCCGGGGAAGTTCCTGCTCGGCCTGCGGGTGGTGACGTGTGATACGTCCACTCTGGTTCGACCCAACCGCGTTCTTGTGGTTCCAGCATCTAACGTCTCCCTCTCAGCGTGAGTGACCACATAGTGGATGTTTATGTTTAGTCACTTAATGACGCTGGAAAGCAGAAACAGAGAATTATTTAAATGACATGCGAGGTGTGTCAGAAAGGACTGGTGTCATAAAAGATATATGTCAACCTCAGACTACAGCGTTGCCTGGATCGCTCAGCAGGTTGGGCAGGCGACCCATGAACAGGGGCTGTAGTCCCCTGATGCAGAGGTCGTGGGTTCAAGTCTGGCCCATGACCATTTACTGTAGGTCCTTCTCCTCATATTTCCTGTCTCTCTCTCCATTTCTAACTATATTAAAAGCCAGAACCAAAAATGAAAAAAAACCCAAACCACAAACTACGAGTTTTCCCCTTCAGACGATCAACCATCTCGTCTACAAAGAGATCCTGCAGCGTTTGTTTCGTTCAGCGAGAGTTGTGGCAGGAGAAGTCGTGGCTGTTTCACCATGACAACGCGCCTGCTCACAATGTCCTGAGCGTCCGACAGTTCCTGGCTGAGAAGAACATCTCTGTGCTGGAGCAACCTCCCTACTCACCCCACCTGGCTCCGTGGGATTTTCTCCTCTTCCCCAAGCTCAAGGGGGTCATCAAGGGGACCAGTTTAGAAGACGTGGACGACATCAAGATGGCTGTGATGACAGAGCTGTGGAAGATCGTGGAAGAATCCTTCCAGGAGTGCATGGCGGCGTGGTAGAGAAGGCTGGGGAAGTGTGATAGAAACACAGTAGTTGAAATATATCTTTTGTGGCACCAGTCCTGAAACTTTTCTGGCACACCTCATAAAACTGTATAAGTACTCTGCGTGAACATAGTTACACTGTAAGTGTTGTCCTTTGAGTTATACTGCAGTCTAGTTTGGTGTCTAAATCACAGACTAATACTTGCGCTAGTCTCTAGATAGTCTCTCGTACTCATAGAGGATCTGTGTGGGACTCAGCAGTTCTCAGTCCGACCTCTTTTTTGCGTCTTGATTTTCACAGCTCCACAGTGCGGGCGTTGAACAAGAACTTCTCCATTGCCTTCCTCTTTCCCGTCTTCATCACTCTCCTCTTCTTCCAGCACAACAGGACTGTTTATGACATTGTGGCGGGGACCATAGTCGTCCAGCGCAGAGGGGGCAGATAGCTCCCCTCTAACTCTCTTCTACTTGGCATTTGTGTGTATGTAGGCCTGTATGTCCTAAATATCTGGAACATGTAATTGAAATCTAATTCAGCGATGCACTGGAGAATGACTTTCCTGAATGAAACTTGGACCGCACTTTAAAATGAGACGTATGCAGTTTGTGGGACGGTGTGATCAAACACGTGACACGTTTTGCTGTAAAGCTTTTAATTTATACGACCAGAACGAGAACAAAAAAAAAAAAAGCTGTGAGGACACCTTATTTAAGTATTGTAATTTTTTGCTAAATGCAAAGTATGTGAAGCTAAACAGGGTGCTATTATGGGACATTCTGAGTTTTCTCCTCATATGATGTGAAACTTCATATGCATATTATGTTGCTGTTATATATTGTTTGTTTATTTGTTGTGAAGCTAAACGCTCCTATTGAGGGGATTTGACGTTTTCTTTTTCCTTTGGTGACCTCTAGTGGCTGTTACTGGAATTACACCAGATCCCCTCCATTTTTTTTCATTATTTAATTTTTCAACAGAGACAATATGATCATTGTTAATCGATCCTTTCAGAATAAGAGTCCTACCAACACAACCGAAATTATTAGGTACTAATCTTTACAGCATTTTTTTTTTTCAAGGTGATAATGGTCAATCAAATGTTTGGTTTGCAGATCTTTCTTTGTGTTGTGATCATTCTCACACGCTCACACTGAAGAACATCAGGCCAGGCTTCTTTCTATCCATTTTCTGTGCCTATGGATATTTCGATGAAGTATTGTTTTGATATGGTGAAACAAAAAAAACGAAAGCTCATGGATGTATGAGGTTCAAACGTAAGTAATCGCGTTTGTAAATTCTCTGCTCCTATTTTCTGTCCTCAGACTTATCATTTTTGTGACTCAGGGCAAATGTTTAGCGTCAGAGAACCACTGTCTTGACTGATTACTGAATGCTATTGATATTGTCAGGTTTCTACTTATGCACAATGTAAAACACTGCTGGTATTAAATATTATTAATGATTTATTCACATTTTAGTTATCTGGTTTAGAAGTCTAAGCTGACTTAAATCCACCATATGGCCTCTCATTTTCTGAATCACAGTTGTGGAGTTTGTTTTAGTTTGTGTTATGCCAAAAGATTTGTCAAACATCAGCTCTGCTCGTCCTACAATTACTCTGAAATTCAGGGATCGTCATAAGTCACAGCTGGTTAAAAAAAAAAAAAGGCAGAATTAGAATTTAAATAAAAATCTGACATTTGAAGTACTGATTGTTTAAAAATGAGTCAAATATTTCAGTAGCTGTGATGAAATAAATTCATTTGTTGTTTTTTTATGGGATGTTTCAGATTACAGATTTCATGTAATGAATTGTATTTATTCTCAAGAAAGACAAACTGAAATATTGCTAAAACCAGCTGCTACAGTTCACTGAGTCCATAGTTTCATATATTTTTATTTGTTTTGTACAATTTACAGCTGGGTAGACAAGATATGTGGAAGATGATTTGCAGACAGTACAAGAACATCAGGCACACAACATGCAAAATGTTTCTGCTTTTGAGTGGAAAGTTTAAAAAGCAGGCAAGTTTAGTTTAAGAATTTACAGTCAAGTCAAGAAGTGCTGATTTAGCCAAATTTAAATAAAAGAGAGGGATCATAATTGACAGAGGATTTTCAAAATGCATGTAAATATTAATTTTCTTTGCCTGAGCAAGTGGGTGATCAGGTGAGTTCATTGTGGAAATATAGGATTAAAGGGATTAGTTCTGACTTAAAGACCTGTAAAGGACGTTACACACTCATACACACAGCGCTGGGCTTTTACAACAAAAGGTCACTTTGAACTCAAGTACAGAAGTTCCAGGAAAACAGTCACAATCCAAACTACACAACCGGGATGTTTCCTTTTAAACCTTGTCTGCATGTCCTGTCCTGCATGTCTTTCCTAAATGATGTTTTCCTCAAGAGTGGATTTCCTAAACACAGATGTGTTATATTAAGAGGTGACATGATTTAACTGTCCTCCTTCATCGCTACGACTCTTGGGCCGACGCCACATGGGGGCAACACAGATCAATACAAGCTGAGGCCCACGTTCGATACACAGAAATAGACTGTAGCTATTAGATACTGGCATTTTTTCAAAAGGTGCTTTATGGAATGTTAGAAAGCACACTCGCTCCTTTCATAACTGACAAATCTATAACTTCAGTCAGTATCGAGGGCATGCAGGAACACATGCTGGCTTGCAGAAATGTAGAACTCGCCGATCGTACTTTCCTGTCCTTGCTTGTCGGTCACTTCACGGCTGTATTGTCTCGTCAGGTATATGTCAAACATGAAGCCCGAACAAGATCAATCTCATGTTTGTGACAGACTTTCCCTTTAATCAAAAGAGAATTTGCATTCCACGATGACATCTACTGTCTTTGGGTTGCTGACATTTGCGAAAAAGCACTTCTGGAGCCAAAAATATCAATGCAGGAGAAATCATTAGGCCGCAGGTCATACGGCGTAGTGTTTTTCTGGGATAAAGAGTGATGCAGCTTGTTGAAATTGCTTTGCTATTCTGAAAGTAGGAGTTTGCGTTGTATTATACAGGGAGGTTGGTTGTGGGGTTCAGTCAGATACATGACTGCAGAGAGGTTCAGAAAGACTTTATATACAGCTGAAACCAGAAGTTTACATCCACTGTATAAAAAGACACATAACCTTTTTTCACACTATCTGACATTAAATCAGACTAAACTTTACCTGTTTAAGGTCAGTTAGGCTTACCAACATTATTTCTATTTGATAAACGCCAAAATAATGAGAAAGAGAATTTTTTATTACTTTCTTCAAGGTCAGAAGTTTACATACATTTCTTTAGTATTTGGTAGCGTTGCCTTTAAACTGTATGACTTGGGTCAAACGTTTTGGGTTTCCTTCCACAAGCTGCTCACATTAGTTTGATGAATTCTGGCCCATTCCTTCTGACAGAACTGGTGGAACTGAGTCAGGTTTGTTGGTCTCCTTGCTCCTCTAATGTTCTCCAGGATTGAGATCAGGGCTTTGTGATGGCCACTCCAACACACTGACTTTGTTTGTCCTGAAGCCACTTTGTAACTGATGTTTAGGGTCATTGTCCATTTGAAGACTCATTTGCGCTCAAGCTTTAACTTCCTGGCTGATATCTTGAGATATTGCTTCAGTATTTCCACATAATCTTCTTTCCTCATGATGCCATCTATGTTGTGAAGTGCACCAGTCCCTCCCGCAGCAAAACACTCCCACAACATGATGCTGCCACCCCCGTGCTTCACAGTTGGGATGGTGTTCTCAGGCTTCAAGCTTCCCCCTTTTTCCTCCAAATGTAACGATGGTCATTAAGGCCAAACAGTTTAAGTTTTCGTTCCATCAGACCACAGGACATGTCTCCAGAAATGAAGGTCTTTGTCCCTGTGTGCATTTGCAAACTGTAATCTGTCTTTTTTATGTTGCTTTTGGAGTAATGTCTTCTTCCTCTCTGAGCAGCCTTTTAGCCCATGTCAGTACAGGACTGGTTTCACTGTGAAAAATGACTCTCTGACCAGCTTCAGCAGCATCTTCACAAGATCTTTAGCTTTTGTTCTGGGGTTGATATGTACATTTCACACTAAAATACTTCATCTCTGGGACACAGAACCTGTCACCTTCCTGAGCGCTATGATGGCTGGACATTCCCATGGTGTTTATACTTGATATAATTGTTTGAACAGATGAACGTGGAACCTTCAGGTATCTGCAAATTGTACCCAAGGATGAACCAGACTTGTGGAAGTCCACAATTCTCTCCCTGATATCTTGACTGATTTTTTTTTTTAGATTTTCCCATGTTGTCATGAAAGGAAGCAGTGTGTTTGAGGTATACCTCCATCCATACATCCATCCATCCATTATTTATCACCGCTTAATCCCCACTAGGGTTGCGGGGGGGCTGGAGGGTGTGCCTCCAATTAACTCAAATTCTGTCAAGTAGCCTATCATAAGCTTCTAAGCCTTGACATCATCATCTGGGCTTTCCAAAACAGTTTGAAGGCATCTTAGTGTATGTAAACTTCTGACTTTGAAGAAAGTAATATAAAATTCTCTAAAAAACATAGTTTTGGTAATCCTAACTGACCTAAAACAGGAAAGGTTTAGTCTGATTTAATGTCAGACTGAGAAAAAAAGGTTATGTGACTTTTTATACAGTGTGCGGTGTAACTTCTAGTTTCAACTGTGTATGCATATTACACGCAATAGTGTGTACTGAAAGTAAAAAGGAGAAGTGTGCAATCTGGGAAGCAGTGTTGTTGTGTTTGCCAGATGTTTTATGGCACCTGTCACATAAAGTGTTCACACCCTTCATTATGCATAACTTTAAGCCTCAGTGCAGTTTTAGTGGAGGAGTTATATAAGAATTAACCTCCTGTTCAGTTGTTGCAAACGGTGAAACTAGCTGTAGAGACAAAAGTCGTTTTTTTTGTACCGGCCTGCAAACATGTTTATTTCTAATGTAAATCTGAGTCGTTTAACATGGGCCTCTATGGGGAATGACTCGCTTTTGGAGCCAGCCTCAAGTGGACACTCGAGGAACTGCAGGTTTTGGCACTTTTGTGTCGGCTTTCTGTCCAGTCACGTTTGACGTCGCACCTGTAGATATATATTAAGGCATTAATCAAAATCGCTGTAACCACTTATCTCATGCATCAGTACGTTTTTTGTGTTTGGTTAAAGGCCTAAGATATACGATAGAGTCGCCCCACATGACAAGCAAGTTCAGAAGCTGTTTACTTAGTGAACACGAACTAATGAATAACTTCAGTGTTACACTTATTTTCTGATCCGCAGTGCCAAATTGCTGTGGAGTTGAATTTTTATGAGCCGTGTTCTTGTAAGATTAGCCAGGGGCATATTTTGTCTTATGGTCCCAGCAGGAAGACACAACGTTCATCGGCTCTCCTCAGTATGGTAGTTTTTAAATAGCAACCATTAATCCTTATGAATTAGTAATCATCACCAGTCTCTTGCCAACTTTTCTCCCTCCAACAAATGAAACAAAAGACAAATCACAGCCACCATTCAAGACTTTTCTTACAAACTTTAAATTTCATTCTCTGTCATTGAAGCTGTGACTTAAAGTTTTCACCTTTATGTGTTTCCTTTCATGTCTCCCCTTTTGGTAATTACTTCCAAAATCTGGCCTTCAGGGATCATTAGATCAACTTGTATTTTGCACCCAAATGTGTGCTGCAGAGCTCATGTGGAGGGCGAGAACGTATGTAAATGCACTGTCTGAATTATAAATCTGTTATATCGTCCATAAATTTTGTGCCACTAGAACTTTGAAAAAAAAGGGGGGGGATTAACTTCCTTAAATGGCTTTGAGGCAATGAGAAAATTAGCTTTCTGTTGTATAATCTCTGTGCATGGGAGAACTATCCAAACATTTTGTCAGCCATTGTGCATGATTTTAAAAGTTCATCACAGCATTTTGTCCTTCAGTAGCAAGTTTTTTTTTTTTTTTTGTGCTGAGAGTCATGAGTTGTTCTCTGTGCCAGGGAACTGAGAGAGGCTTAGCAATAATTACGCCTCGAGTGGCTCTAATACAAATTTCACAGGGAGACAGAGTGGAGAGAGAAAGCAACAGAAAGTGCGAGACACAGAAAGGGATTAAGAGAGAGACAAAAGCCCCAAGAGGAAGGAAAGGATTGGAAAAAAAAAAAAGAGCGAGAAAATGAGAATAGATGGAGAGTGCAGAAATGGGAAGAGAAGTGTTAAGAAAAAGGCAGGAAGAGAGAAAAGAACGAGGAGGGAGTGAGCGCGAGGCTGAGGGACACCATGCTTGAAAATTCTCTCTGATCTTTGAGCCGTGGGACCAGAGGCGATGGAATACCCCGCAGAACTCTATTAAAATTCAACCAGCCTCACTTAAGCTTTCGGTTATTATACCAGAGATGCCCTGCACAGCTCAGCTTTCTCTGTTTGCTCTCCGTCGCACACGTGAACGCACAACCAGAAGACAAACAGTTGCACACACACACACACACACACACACACACCCATCCACTCACTCACACACACATGACCACTTTGCTGCCAGACAAAGAAGCACACAGCTGACAGCGCTTTTGAACTTTACGTAATGCAGTATACAAACAATATACAACTTTAGCAAACACGTCTTTATCGGAGGGCGAAAGGTGAGCGTTGTAGTTGTAGTTGCTGCTTTTTAGCTCGTCTTCACACCTTAAG